TCATGAATCACAGACACAGACAAGGATCATAACTGTAAGGATTCAAACTGTTCCGGCTCTGCTATCATGTATAAAGTCATCAAATGATGAAGCATTCTGTGTGAGGATCATAATGAAATATTCAATCAGACAACTCTCATACTCTAAACTATTTTCTCAAGTTAGTATTCATCTGTCTGATCCGATGATCGCTGGAGCGCATAGTCTCTCCATATGTGCTTTTGTGTTTGTTATGTGCCTGTGTATGCAGTGTGCTTTGTAGTCAGGCCATGTTTTGGAGTGCTCGGCGCCTGTTCTCCAGCTCGGCCACCTGCAGCTGGGGATCGATCAGCTCTCTGGCACCCCAGCCTAACCCCCAACCGACCGGCCCCCACCTCCAGAATCCCATCCCATCCCTGGCTGTATCAAGCAGACCAATCAGGCTGCCTGTTTCTTCATTTCTCTGGTCTGAGTGAAGTTCACATCAGTAAGATGTCAGAGGACACAAATACCAACGTAAGTTGACACAAAACTCACAAACTATAAATATGCAATATGGCATGGAGAGCAATTTGAGAAATAGGCGATAGGAGGATAATTTGGACTTTTTCAGGCATATCCTGTATGTTAAATAATTTTTATTTTGTTTGATATCATATATCAAAAGGAAATAAGTGTTTTAGATAGCGCAAAGGTAAAACTCTGCCCATCCTCCATTCCAAACACTTAAAACTAAGAAGGAGATTTGGCGGGCTGCTCACTCAAATCCCTCTTAGTTTAACTCCTACACCTCGTCAGCCTCGTCGTGGCACATCGGTTTTGACAAGAACAAACTGGTCCTGCTAGAGAAGTGGAGGTTGGGCCAGACCCTTACAAGGCACTCCCCGCTGCAGAGCCAGAGGAGAGAAGTTTCCTATTATCAAGGACTCTCCCTTAATGATGAAAGTAAACAACATGAGCAAGAGTGTTTAATATTTCATGGCCCACCCACAGGTGTAGCGGTGTGCTGGGAATAACACATACATCCACACATACAATGCGGGTTTGATTAAGATGAGGGTATTGCCACTGTTGCAATTGGCCAGCTCTCCCGTGTGTGTGTGTGTGTGTGTTGAGTCTTGAACGTATTTGCTGCCTCAGTCTTTTTTTCCCTCTCCACTCTCCCTCTCTCCTCCGCCCTCTCTCTGTGGTGATATATGGAACATATGGGAAATTATTGTGGGGTTATAAAGGGCTGTTGACTTCAGCAGACATGCAATAAATTAAGCTGTTTGTGCAGGGGAGGAAAAACACGAGCTCTTTAGGAACACTTAGTGCAGATTTCCTGTACAGACTTTACTCTCCTTCTCCTTCTCTCCCTCTCTTCCTTTCTAGCTCCTCCTTTTACCCTTCAGCCAGTTCCCTCTGTCTCCTCTTGACTCCCTCTCACTGTTTTAACACAGGCCACAGCACAATCTCATTCTGTTCTCCTAGTTGGTGGTAACACAGTGGGATATATCCACACAAATTATCCACATAAAACTCGTAAAGCCTGGAAAATATTTTAATAGTTTCCGCACCCCCTTAGTGGCAACAAGCTGCATGTGCAGAGCTGGTGAGCAGCACCAGCGTTATTGGTGCAATTAAATGTGAAACACAAGAGAGGAACACGAGGGAGTGGGAGCCCAAAATGGCTGTAAACAAGGAAAATGACACTTGACAAGTTGTAATTTATGTACGTCGTTTCAAAGCCAAGAGACTCACCGTTCCTACACTGGCAGGGAAAGAAAAATAAAGGCGCAAGGAGCCAGGCATTACAGGAACTATGCACAGAATGTTATTGAATCAAAGCCACACAGAGACAAAAAAGGGAAACAGAAAGCAGTGACTTCAAATTCGAAGCATGATGAGCAATGCACAGAGAGAGAGAGAGAGACAGGAAGTGTGTGAGTATATGTGTGTCAGAAAGAGGGAGATAGAGAACGCTTTGCAAAATGATTGTACTCAAAGCAAGCACGGGATTGGGGGGGAGGCCCTTGGATACAGGAATACTCTCCTCATCTCAAAGAATGCTAAATAACACACACATACACACTTACACACACACCTACACACACACCCACACACACACAGTCTGTCTGGGGAATAGATGCCATTAAACAGAATGAAATAGGACTTGAGCTCTCATACCCCAAACCCATCCAGAAACAAATCAGCGTCACCATTTATGAGTTTACTCTCTTTCCAAAATGAGGACAAAACTGAACCAAAACAGTCACGGCAAATAGGCACACTAAGGAAACTGAAGACGTTTGTCATGTTTGATGAAAGCCTCCAATGTTTCCTTCGACAACAGCAGCCAAAGCCAGATGTTTACTGTGATAGTTACATTTTGTGTTTTCACTGCCAATGCGCTTGTTTAACTAGCTCAGCAGACAATATACCTGTGTAATTTTAGATTACACTGTGAACACAGTGATTCCAAATGGTCTATTTCATTTGTTTATTCGAATGTTACAAGAAAGTTCCAAGATAAGTGGCACGTTCTTTGAAAGTGTATCTGAATCAATTTGCAGCACTTTTAAACTTTCCACAGTACAAACAGGTTTTTAAAAACGTGTCTTTTAAGTAATTTGTCTTTTTCATCATGACTAAGGCCCTTTTCCCTCACAGCACCAACCCCCGCTATTTAACAGCTCTCAAGTTTCTTATCTGCTTTTCAAGAATTACATTTAAAACCAAATGAATGAAATGATCTAACGCATGTTAAGCGCAGCATAACATTTTTCTTCAAAGTTGTTCGACCTGCTCAAGGCATTGAACGGGGAAAATTGTTTAATTTGAGCAAACTGAAATCACTTTACTTGAAAGTGCTTCTTCTCTCAAATGTGATCCATTTGTTTGCACTAAATTCCACAGTGGACCTAAGGAAGTAATGAAGATGAACCAAAATTTGCAAGACTTCACAGCATATATTGAAGCCCTTTTGCCACGTAAATATACAAGTTAAATTTGCAGTGTAGATATCCTGTAATTTGCAAAATGACAAGATGCTTGTCTGCACCAAGCACCTCCAATTGCAGCTCATTAACTCAGTCAGGGGGAAAGCATTCTACAAGCGCGGAGAGAAACTATTAAAATACTTCCATTAACTGGGAGAAAAAAAAATACCCCGGTTCCAGCCCAAAGTGTCTTCATTTGGGCTCAAATGTGAGATATGCCGTTGCTATGGTAATATGGCAATGGCTGTCGCCCTCCTCCCAGCTGTTGGTGGGTTTTGTGTGCGAGAGAGAGAGAGAGAGAGAGAGAGAGAGAGAGAGAGAGAGAGAGAGAGAGAGAGACTGTGTGACTGTGTGTTTGTGTGCGTGCACGCATGCATTGATGCTGCCTCCGTGCTGTGTTCCCCCTTTCAGTCTTCAGAATAGTGTCTCTACTAATCCGTGAAAGTTGCGGCGCTCTGAACCAGTGGCCAAGCCTTTTCCCACTGAACCAAGGCCCAGGGTCTGCGCTCTGCTTTACACTTGATTGGTCCCTCCCGTGGCAGGACTCCCCTCCCTGCTGGGCGTGGGCCCGTCCCCCTCGCTGGGCTGCTCAGCACTGCCTAATCGCCTTCTCCCCACCATAATTACCAGTGCTGAGCCTAGGACTCACTAACACACCATTAAAGTCTGGCCAGTCAGTCCTCACCAGCCATCACACATCCAGCACTTAGAACAGGCCCAGAGACTGGCCTAAAACCAGGCCCAACTCCACCAACAGAGCACCTGTTCATGCCTGGGATGCCCCGCAGCACTGTGGACTTGGCTGGTGCTGCTGCTGGGTAAGAAAAAAGAGAGGGGGTTGGCAGCTGTGCTGTTGTCCTCCTCCCCCTGCAGTGGAGGTGATGTGTTTATTTGGGCTGGGATGCTGCAGTGAGAAGCTGTGAGAGGTAACTATCTCCTTGTTGTGCTCTACAGAGTACCAGAGAATCCACCCTGCAGAGACAGAGCCCTTTGATATATGACCACTTCAAACCCACACATACAATGGAAGCAGTCAATTGTGGAAATAGCCCAAGTTGATGTTGTGTGGGCAAGGTGAGACACATTTGCTTTGCTCAAAACCAACCCTGCACTTTATTTCTCCTGTATATATATTTTCAGCAAAGCAAATACGAAACATATTTTACATTCTGGACATTGACAATCCTGCGACGTGTGTAAAATCAGAAATAGAAATACTCCCACTTTCAATTTTGTTGGACCCACGAGGTTCCAAATTTCCAACTATTGCACCATTGGTGAGAGCATATGGGACAAGCCAGGTGAAACGCAGTGACCTGGCAAACAGTCCAAAGGCTGATGAGAGTCGGGTACACGTCAGAAGGCACTGGGTGTGTTGGCACAAACAGTACCCAGAATGTGGATCAGAGAGACACCCAGCACTCCTTAGCTTATTACTCTCTTATTAGGAACATTTTTGCCTTGCATGGTTTGGCAGAGTCCCGCTAGCCACCCTCTTCACATGGCCCAGGCTCTGTCAGAGCTGATCAAAAGACATTTCTTAACATCTCCAGACGCCAGGGAAAAAAGGAGAAGAAAAGAGGGAGAGAAGAAAAGAGCCAGAAGGGGGCATACTGCTCTCTCTTTACTCTGGTCTTTTGGTGAATGAGGACTTTTCACAATGCCCTCTCTTTTTTCTTTATTTTTTCATTCTTCTATTGGCAAAAAATAGAAAGAAAAAAAAAAGAAAAAAACAGCATTTCCCATCGCGTTTCACCAAATTGTTTTTGCCATATCAAAAACAATTGTCCTCAGGTGAAGAATGCGCCTGCAGAATTACAACCATTCCAGGGGGAGAAAGAGGTCTTCACAAATCTGAGTGGCTTCCAGGCAGCCAAGACCCCCTCGAAGTGGTAATGAAAAGTGTAACTTTAGCCTCCCAGCTGTACGTCTCAATCCATAATCCTTCCCCAAAAACCTCACCGTGGTGCTGCCTACCACTCCCATGGCGTTCCCAGCCTGTGCCGGGCTGGGCCTGCACTGATTTATGAGGCAGTCCTGTGTCATACTCCCGACCTGAAAAGGATTTCTTCTCTTATATTTACCAGGGTGGTCAGGGCAGCTCTCTGGAATCACACAGAGCCCAGTCTCCGGGGCCTCAATCCCAGAAAGTCTTTTTACCCCTCTGTGCCAATAACCTGGACATTTTGGACATTACCAGAATCAGACGAGTCTCCAGTGTTTCAATAGTGGTGTGTTTCATCAGTGCAGAGGTGAGTGTCTGTGTGGGCGTGTGTGTGTGTGTGTGTGTGTGTGTGTTTGTGTGCGTGCAGAGCTGTCTGCGACAACGTACAGTAGCTGGGTTAGTACCTGGTATGTATAAGCATGTTCAGGATTGGTGGCTTGGCCCGCGAGGTGACAACTGGTCCACAAACCTACGAAATGCAGACAGTTAACACATCAGCATGTTTTAGATGGTAAAAGGGTTTTTATTTTGTTGATCTTTGTACATTTTCACATCCATTTTTCAGTTGCAGTTTCATAGAAATGCAATAATTTGGAAATCTCATGCATGAAAATATCCATCTCCATGACTTTAACTTTGGTCATTTCTATTTAAGGCTCAGAACAGTATTGGAGGAAAAGCATTTTACAGTAATCTCCTGGTAGCCCAAGCTAACTACTGTGAACCACTAGATTAAAAATGTATTGATATCCTGTAAATTATTCTGGCAAAGTCGAAAAGGAAGAGGCTAATTGGTAGAAGTATAACTAATTGATGACGTGTGTGAATTACAGATTTTCAAAGAGTTGAAAGACATAAGAGAGAACCGTCTCCAGCAGGTCTGTCCACCACAGTTTTTCCTCTTTGGTGCATCTGACTTGGGTAAAATCTACAGATTGTACTCGCCCACACTGACTGAGGATCCAGTAAGACATGAGAGATAAGAGCTGAATGCGTGTTGGTAGGTGAGATGTTCACTGTGCATCCACTTCAAGTAAACAAGCCAAGGTGACCTCTGGAGAGATGGGTTTATACATCCCATGGTTGGTTGTCTATGTATGTGGAGGTGGGAGCAGCGGGTGGTTGACGCAGACTCTAAGGAAGGGATCATCCTATTTTATGTGTGTGCGTGTGTGTGCCTGAATTGTGCTCACTTATGTGTCTTTTATGTATGTACATTTAATGCGACAGCCATGTGGTTAACACTAAACACTTACTGGTACATTCTGAGCAAAAAAATGAAAGCATTGCTGCTTGGAACATGCACGGCGCATGCCTGATATAATCCACATTTTGCACCAAATATCTTGGTTGAAGGTGCAAATTAAGAGATCGCGTTCCTACAAATTGCCCTGAAATTGATATTACCATCATCACCCGACCAGAATTTCAAAGAAATTAGGCATGACCTGAAAAATACGTTTTGACCAATGCAAATGCAGACAAAATGGCCGCTGTTGCTAAGCTAACGGGGAGGAGGAAGATGGAGCTGAAACTCTTTGAATGCTGTTTGAAAGCAGCACGTTCATAGTTGACTTTTAACAATATTAAAGCAAAAAACACACACAATGGAGGAATTTGTCTATTGTCCTGCTAGTTTGAGCAGCTAATAGCTTAAGCAGCTTAATTCTCTCGTACATTTTGTTTCAGATATAAAGCATGTGCTGTGTTATGCAGGCGGTTCCCTCTCTCAAAGGTCCCCTGACATTACAGCTTCAGATTGACTTTTGAAACACGCAATAGTTTTCTTAGCATGAGGTTGTTTTTATTTACACCATATTGAGAACAATGGTGTAAATAAACAGCACATACTTCACCCAACTTCTGTAGCAGAAAAGGCAACTACTTAAATATTTTCAGCCTGAATTGGGAGTTATGAGATGAGTAAAATGTGACAGCTTCATATGAAAGTCTGTTTGAGTCTTTGCAGTTGAAAGCCTTCATAGTATGACACAAGGAAAGCCTTCAAATGTGTTATCCTTTTTTTTTCTCCCTATGCGTTAACTTTGGGAAATCATGTGAGAGATATTTTTCTTTGTAATCGAGATTTAAAGGATAAGATTGGTAACTTTCTCTTCCAGTATACTTTTCGACTGATGTCAGATTTTAAAGTGTAGATTATGGAGGTGAATATATTTTGGGGGTTTTGAGTATGCTCCATCATGTTTAAAAGTTTCTATGACAGTTTAAAGTTGGTTATAGCAAAATAAAGAAAGGACTGAAAAGAAAGAAAAAGCTTTGACATATAGTGGAAATTTAAATTTGTTTTTCATTTTTTTAAACCACTTCTTTATATTAATTTTGTCATCAGATTTTTTACTGTAAAATAAAATTTCTCATTAAGTAAATCGATTTATATGAACACCGTTTTCATTCACTTTTGATACAGTTGACCTACTGATGTAAATACAACACAAAAGATTCATATAGAATTGAAGATTTGTGTTGTGGGGATGTCTGAGTGTCTAGATAAGTAGGAGGGACTCTGCTGACAGATGATTGTCCTCTCTACAGATGAACATACGAAAAACAGATGGTGGCCTTTCATTCTGCAAACTGAGAAGTTTCTCGTTTCAGCGGAGAAACATCTGATTTGACTCACAGTTTTTGATCAAAAACTCTGCTTCTTATTTATCGCATATTATTAGATTATGATGAGAGCCTACCATGCTAGACAATGTCCCTTGAAGAAATAAAAAGACTTGAAATAAAAGATTCTTCTGCTGGTTAGACACCACCTTGAAACAGAGAGCTAATGAACTTCGTTGTCTTTTGATGCAGCGCATGAAGTTTTGCAAATGAAAAAAACAATTAAAAAGAATTACAAAGAAACATACAAACAGATGGCTTCTTCAACAAACAGCTAAACTAACACAAAGTATAATCACTTTCTAATTGTTCTCGCAGATACCATTTGTCTGACATAAGCTGGAAAAGTTTTCAACAACGCAACAATAACTTTCTTTTCTCCATCTGCTGAAACTAACATTTAAATCTATAATGTCGATTTATAATTGTTTCTCTTAAGTGAAAAGTATTTGGGTGTGTGTACAAATTCAAAACCAAGTTCATGCGCACACAAATTAAAAAAAATAATTGAGAGTTTTAATTTCAAGACACCTGTGCTCCCTGACAGTGAGATTGTACAATTGTATCTAAATTCAGCAATAGTTTTAACAATCAAATTCCAAAATCGCCCCATTACTTATCTCATCAATGTGATAATTTCAAGTGTTTTACGTATTTTTTAAAATCAGAATAAAAACACTTGAAATAGCTACCTTTTACTATCGTTTTTTATATATTGAATAAAACTATTTTTCCATAACATGATTTATTTACTAAAACTAAAATTAAATTAAATTAAACTGCACACCCTACAGACTTAGCTTTTAATGTCAGTAACAATTTCAAATGAATTATTAAGTGTCCCACTTTAATTTCACATATATTATAAAGTCAACGGTTATGGAGCACTACTTATTCATAAAATGAAAAGTTCAACACTTTTAATCACGCCATGGTATTATTTGAATGTTTCCGTTATTAAAGAAACACAGTAATCCTTTTTTAAAAATGTTTCATAATAATTATTTTACACTTACTGTCTTTTAGTAAAAGCGAGCGATAAAATGTCTTTGGTTTTAAAAATGAATACACTGAGTGTTTCGGTACCAATCACAATACACAGAAAAAAGGAAACTGAGCTGAGGAAGATGATGATGATGATGATGATGATGACTGAGAGAATTGTGAACACAAATGCATTCAAAGAAGTGGGAGGCCTGCTTATATCACAGAGGCCCCACATTCATTTTGTCGAGTTAAATTGATTCACCTGAAGGTTCTGGTCACATATTCCTTTAAATGCACCTTAAATGAGCTCAGCCATAATTCTAGTGTACAAAAGGGACATGTCAGAGTCACACAATTGAGGAGAAATAAATAGGGAGTAGGTTTTTGTGGACGTTCTTCAAAGGCGCTCCAATTTCACACCGTCAAATTAAAGCACCCTTATACTTTAGTTCCATGAGTGTTATTCCTGCTGTTTGGTCTGCAGGCTTTTTTTCTTATAGGTATTATTTCTGCAATCTGAGAAATTATATTTTGGAGTTAAATTAAGTAAAATGATTTATATTTTGTAAAAATACTTCAACTGTTAAGAAATTCTTTAAAATGTACCGTACGTCATTTAAACCTGCATTTAGACTTGAATATTGATGGATTGACACTTTTTGTTCGCTGCTTTTCTGCAACTTATAACGGTCCCATTCAAATTTGAAGACATGCAGTCATATCTGGTATTTATCAGTACTCTATTTTGACTGCTGATGTATATTTTGGATGAAAATTTGTTATCACTGGCGTTATACCTGTCCTACCATCACGACACATCACATCTCGACACACGTCTGAGCTGAGTGCTGTCATTCATCACGTTTTGCTCTGGGAATATCCGCTGCATGTCACTCAATATTTGCAAAAGATGACATACATGATATGTGACCTGTGCACATGTTAGAGCTGGAGCTGATGTTGATTTGAAGAACACTGATGTGCAAGTTTGAAAGAGGAAGTGCAACTGACAAAGTGAGGAGATTTAGAAACCTTTCGCTCTGCTTATGTTTCTGCAGCTACATTTTAGCTATTGAAGCTAGACAACACCTGCCATCTCTACTGCGGAGCGATTGGTAAAATTGTGCCTAAATATAAAAACCAGCGGATACAAAAAGCAAAGTGAGATTAATATTGGTGTTTCTATGTGTGATACACTTGAGGTGTTCCTCCAGGTTACATAGTGCTGACAAATGTACATTATGTAAGCAAGAAGTTAACTGCCAAAGTCCTGCAGCTTGTTTACGGTGACATCTCATTGCTTGATCGGTGGGGTCCTGCCAGTGTGTGTCTTTATTAGTCAATATGCAATGCTGACGTGGGCACCCCAGCAGCAGCAGTGACAGCCCTTATCCCTCCTCTGTGCCTCACCTCATACTAAGCTCTGGATTTGAAGGACAGGCAGCTCAGGACAGAACAAGTGTGCCAAAGCAGAGCGTAAGCAAAGCTTTAGAGCAACAGGCCACATTCTAGTGTATCTTTCTCAGACAACAAGTACACCACACCCACTGCTTTAAAAGGACATGTCACAGTGAATGTATCATCTGCCATACAGTCAGGTTTGGCCAAACAAGAGTTAAAGGGCAACGGTCATGAGCAAGAAGTTATCTGTTGAGTGTGTGAAGTCGATCTGTAATGAATCCATCAGCCCAA